AATCATCAGCGTATTCCTTTAAGGGTCTCGTGCGCGGGTTCCAAAAAATGGCTCAGTAGCGCCCCCTACAAAATTTTGAGGAAACAGCCCCTGAAGCTAGTTTAACCTACGTGTATGAAACTTGGCAGGCTTATGTAACACTCCGAGACGTACAAAAGAGCCTCTTGGAGGCATGCTCTAAACCAAACAGGAAGTCGGCCATTTTGAATTTACTGTGCAATTTTGGTGCATTTTTGGCCATTTCCAGGGGTCCTAAATGAACAAACTAGTCCTAGAGATTTCATCCGATCGACTTCAAACCTTGGTCTGTCCCACCCCAAGACCTTGAAGATGAAAAGTTTTTAGAAACTTGAGTTTTCGTCAATCTGTAAAAGTCTTTTGACGTCATGGTAAAATCCCAACAGGAAGTCGGCCATTTTGTTTTGAATTTTTTCATTACGGAGATTTCCACAAGTTAGATTTGAACAAACTCCTCCTAGGGATTTTGTCCTATCGACTTCATCCAGAGACCATGCTGATCAAAAGTTGTGCTCTGCATGTCTGTAGGTCAATGGGCGTGGCTGTTAGGGCTTGACAAATTTTGGCGATTTTTCAGTTTCTCGCCATCTAATTTTGAACGTCTCTCACGCCCACATACTTGATCTCAGCAGCTTCAAACTTGCTGGACATGATAATGGCTCCGCCCTGAATTACCCAATATGTTAATATCCGACCTTTACTCATAGCGCCCCCCGGTGGAAACAGGAAGTGACCAGTTTTTACTTTGACATGTACTGATGCCACAGACTTGACCCCATCAACTTCATTCCACTTCTAATGCATCCAGAACAAGTTGGTGAAGCTACCTTATGAACGCTGTGAAGCTACATCTAATGGTGTCCGTTTGGTGGTGTGGCGACTATCTATCCCTCGCCACCAAATACATTTTGCTTTTTGATGGCTTCAACGACCTTATATCCTTATGAAAATTGATACACATGTCAAAAATGGCGAGCTCTTGCATCTGATAGGGGCGTCGCCCATGGGGGACACAAAATGCCTCTATACCGCCCCCTTGAAATTTTCAAAAACCCCTCCCCATAGGGTTTTTTTTGGAGAAGGAAGATGAAAATTGGTAAATATGTGTAAATTGCCCAGACACACAAAAAAGTCTCTGGCACCAATGGTCTATTCCAAACAGGAAGTCGGCCATTTTGATTTTGACTTGTCATTTTGGTGTGATTTCCACATGTTGTATTTTAACGAACTCGTCCCAGGGATTTCATCCAATCGACTTCAATTTTTTTACAGATCATCCAGAGACCATGCTTATCAAAAGTTGTGCTCTGCATGTCTGTAGGTCAAAGGGCGTGGCTGCTATGGCACTGCCATTTTTGATCCATTGCCATGCATATTCGAGCAGCTCTCTCTCCCACATAATTCATCCAAACTGCTTCAAAATTTCTGTACATGATAAGAGCCCCCCCCTCAACGCCTCCATATGCTTGCAGGCAATCATGGCGCCCCCTTGTGGAAACAGGAAATGCCATCTTTTACACTGACAAACACCAACCTCAAGCTCCTGACCTGATCAACTACATTTTGTGGCCACATGACGATCAAGTGGATGAATCTCCACAGTGACACACGTATCCTGTCATGTTTCAAGCTGCCGGCGGTGGCGACTTTTCATCCTTCGCCACTGAACATCAACTTTCATTGTACGATTTGATCTAAATTTCACATGTGTGATGAGGGTCCGCCCCTGAATGCACCTTGCCACATCTGGTTACGCTCATAGCGCCACCTGGTGGATGAACATAACATTGCGTTTTTTCTCTCCTGCCAGGTCTTTTCTCCCTTCTCGCTTTGCGCCACAGCCCCCACGTACCTCAGGCCCCCACGGTTGCATGGGGGAGCGAGGGCCCGATCACAGCTGCTTGCTTTAATTTATTATTATTCTTCCTCCAAATGAATTGCCTTTTTGGGAGGCTTATCATACCCAAAAACTCATGAATCTTTGCACACATCTCAAAACTGGTGAAAATTTTTATATTTTATGGGTTGCATGCTTGGATTCCAAAAAATGGCTCAGTAGCGCCCCCTACAAAAGTTTGAGGAAACAGCCCCTGAAGCTAGTTTAAGCTGCTTAAGCTAGTGTATGAAATTTGGTAGGCTTATGTAACACTCTGAGATGTACAAAATAAGCCTCTTGGAGGTATGCTCTAAACCCAGCAGGAAGTCTTTTTTTTTTTTTTTGGCCATTTCCAGGGGTCATAAATGAATGAACTAGTCCTAGAGATTTCATCCGATCGACTTCAAACCTTGGTCTGTCCCATCCCAAGACCTTGAAGATGAAAAGTTATCAAAAGCTTGAGTTTTCGTCAATGCGTGTGACCGTGGGATGGCGTCAAAGTTAGGGGTCTCGCCACTAAACAGGAAGTAGTTTATAACTCCAGCATACATGGTCCAATTTTGCCCAAACTTCACAGGATTAATGACAGTCCTGCCCTGAACACATCTACATGTCAACAATTAGTGATAAATATAGCGCACCCTACTGGCAACAGGAAATGTCATGTTTTAGACTTTAATGTACATCTCCTACAATGTTGACCACATACACCTCAAACTTGGTCAAATAAGCCATAAGATGTTGATGACGCTTTATTGTGGAAACTGTGAGTTTTCATCAAAGAGCATGGCCATGGCCTGGTGGCGAACTTTGATGTTTCGCAGTGATGATAAACGTTGCTGTAACTTGACTCCATGTGGGCATATCTTGCCAAAACTTCACACATATAATGACAGTCCAGCCCTGAACACATCTACAGAGGAGTTTTGAATCACAGTCATAGCGTCACCTACTGGCAACAGAAAGTTACTTCATTCATTCTTTGATGTCCTTCTTCTACAGTAGGAGCTACTCAAAAGTTCCCCTTCCCAGCTGGCTGTCAGCCGGCTGCCTGTCGAATCCCAGCCAAATCCCAGCCAAGTTCCAGCCGGCTGCCAGCCAGCCATGAGATGGCACCTCTCTCACAAAAAACAGTCATTCAGTTTATCAAACGTGGAAGCGTATCATTTCTATAGCAACGACTCTTTTCAGGGGTAACTGTCTGCCTTTCCAAAACCTTGCCTCTTTGAACGTTAACTTCCATTATTCGGACTGCTGGTCCTTCACCTTTTTTGTGTTGTTTTTTTTTGTGCTAACTGGAGTAGTTTCATGTCGTATCCGACAACGGGAGGCTTTTAACAGATGATGTCCTGATGTTTTGCTGTTGCTGCGGCCACTGATGCTTTCTAGACATTGTGATTTCCCAAAACTGAATAAATACCACACATCACAACACAAAACTGCTTTGCTAGCTCAATCATGTTGTAACTAAGACATCCGCTGGAAAAAATATTTTTTTCACGGACCATTTAAGAGTTAATGAGTCATTACAGACACCGCTAACAGGGCTAACAGCTAACGGTTGTTACCTTAGCTTAGGTTGTTAGTCCCTCCGAAGGGACACTAACAACTCAAAGTACACGTCAAATAAAATCTCTCCAAACATGTTTCTTGTTATTTTCAGTAGTTATTATCACGCTAATGTATGTTCAAGTGTTCATTTCCCCCGATAAGTTGGTTTTAATTCGTTATTTGATTCTATAAACACAGTCTGACCATCTTGAGCTTTTATTTTGGTACTTCCAGTGACCGGCAGTGTGAATTTGCATATTAGCTAAATATTTAGTTTCACCCAGAACATTTAGATTTAACATTTAACATTTAGATTTATAGTTAGCATTTAGATTTAACATTTAGATTTAGATTTAATATTTAGATTTAACATTTAGATTTAGATTTATATTTAGCATTTAGATTTAACATTTAGATTTAGATTTATATTTAGCATTTAGATTTAACATTTAGATTTAGATTTAATATTTAGAATTAACATTTAACATTTAGTTGCCACATTTAATATTTAGATTTAAATATTTAATATATTTCTAAGTTAACAAATATTGCTGTAAATGTGGTGTTAAAAAATTCACAACACTTTTTTAAACATTGTTTGAAGCTAAATTTGGCAAAATGTTGATGTTATTTTCAGCGTGAGACACTTTACAAACGGCACCCCATAGTGGCCGTGAGAGGAAAAAATATACATCGTGCGCACATTTTAATTAATTTGAACCTTATTCATTCATTCACTCTGCACTTGCTGCTTTGCATGGGATTATTGTCAGCAAAAGGCAATTAACAAGGATATTGAGAGTTTTAGAGGATATTCTGTGTGTAAAACTGTGTGTAATATCTTATACTATTTGTGTTCTTGTGAAGAAATCCCGCTGGCTCTGCTGCGCCTTCCCAGTTCAATTACGCACAGCACAGGCGCTTGGATGCGCGTAAAAAACCCATGAATGAAGCAGCAGTCCTGTTCTTAGGCGTTTCTCAATATGCGTTCTTGTCTGTACTTGTGTTCTTGTGTCCCTGTGAAACGTCATCAGCCACAGCCCAAGTACTGTCCCAATACACAAGTTGGCATTTCGCCAAGAACAGTCAAGAGCCCGGAAGTTTTCTTGACACGCCCCTTTTTACCGAGGATGCATCGGTTGGTAACTTGTACGTTCTTGTCAACACAAATATCCCGGCATGCATTTCGGCAGTCGAGAGAGCCCCGGGAAGCTTTGAGAAGGAGGACAAAAGCTGTAAGTTTTTTACAAATTTCGTATGCTATTTTATCATAAAATTCACTTCTGATGAGTTTTTACGCGTAAAATGAACTGTGTAGACTTCAAATATAGGCAGTTTTACGAAAATTGACGGCGAATTTAATATTTGCTCTAACATTGTCGGAGTTGAGAAGCTCCATAAACTGGCTCGCCTCCAGGCAGCGCCTGCGGGGTTAGCTGGTTAGCTAGACGGCTTGCTCCCGTCTGCTCACCGACCCCTCTTGTTTTCCCACTGTCCCACAGTTAGGTGGCAATGGCAGAGGGGACTCAGACCCACAAATGTAAGATATGTTTTATTAATATTCGTACCACTGTTATTGTGTCATTACATTAATTTCTGAAAAACATGTAACGTTAAGTAACGTTAGTTTAATAGGTTGTAGCCTGTCACATTAGCCTAGCGTTATAGTTAACAATCTCTGTTATTCTGACATTATATTCTGTGTGATGTTAACGTTACCATTGTAACTTCAAGGGACAACAGAGCAAACAAGTGCCCTAATTGAGTGGCGAGCCGTCAATGAGGTCCTGTTTACAGGGAAGAGGAATTCCTCAAAAAATGGATGGGAGTGAGTATGCTTTTTATGTGTTTGTATGCGACAGGCGGTGGTCCATTGGTGTGTTTGTATCAGACTTGATAGCCTCTTAGAAGAATTTGATGCACCAAAAATAAAGAAAACAAATACAAAGTATAAAGCTAAAGCAAATATTATAAAAGTAAATTGTAACCTGGTGAACAGATAAGTAATTTCCCTCTGAGGATCAATAAAGTTATTCTTATTCTAGGCTGTAGTGTGGTATTAAACAGTGCAAAGTACTTGTGAAGTGCAAAGAAAAAGTACAGGTGACAGTTATGTAATTATCAACTTAAACAAAATGACTAATTTGTACTAACAATAATAATAACTTATGTGTACAACTGTCACTCAACTATTCCTTGCATGCACGTACTGCCGAAGTGCAATATAGCCTTCATACGAAATGTCTGCATTATCATTCCATAACTACATCATATTGAATAGTTTCTGTCAGCTTGTGTTTGTCACTGAAATATCTCTGTTAACTTGTGTGTTTAATTTGTAATAATATCATGTAATATGATGTCTGACTAAGTTGTCCTATTTGTGTGTGTGTGTGTGTGTGTGTGTGTGTGTGTGTGTGTGTGTGAGTGTGTGTGCTTTATCCAGAGTCTTTGTGAAAAATTGCGGCTTTGCTGTGACAGCCAAGCAGGCCATGAAAAAGTGGAACAACCTGAAGGAGAAATACAAGGTAACCCACCATTCAGCAATGAAGCTATATACATATTTGTTAAATGTGGAATTCATCAGCTCAAAAAAGTCAAGCTGAAAACAAATATTAGTATTACACAATATTTGTGGAATCGGTATTTCATTGTGGCAAGACACCTTAAAATAACGGTATTATAACTTGACATTTCAACACTTGATAGTGTTGCAACAAACATATTAGTCAACATTTGTGAAGCCATTCAAACGACACCTTTTGGGACTTCAAGTGTTCATTCTTTGATGCTGTATTTCAGGAGCTTAGGGATCCTCCGACAGGGAAAGGGGTGGAGGCGGGTGGGGTGACTGCTGCCACCTGGCAGTGGTATGGTCAAATGGATGCAGCACTCCGGGGGCAGCACTCCATAAGCCCGCCCCTGGTAGTGGCATCTAATTTGACCACCACTACAGGTGGTGTTGTCACCTCCCCTTCCTCTGCCCCTCCCAAAGAACGGGCCAACCTGCCGCCAAGAAAGAGGGCCAGGGTCAACCAGGAGCTCCTGGAGTTCCTGAAGGAGCAGGCAGAGAGGGAAGAGGCAAGGGAGCAGCAGGCAGTGGAGAGGGAAGAGGCGAGGGAGAGATCAGCCACTGAAAGGGCTGAAAGATACTTGTCTCTCTTTGAGAAATTTGTAGATAAATTATAAAAAAAAAAAAATGTATAGTTGATTAAATTTAATTTAACAGTTAATTATTGTTTGTTGTATTTGTTTTTGAATAAATATTTGAAATATGGAGTTTCAGTCTGTATGGTAGATGAACAGTTATACATAAAGTGGTAACATGCAGGCACGTGTTATTTAGACTTCAGGGGAGACACCAGAGGTTATGATGATAGTCAGAACAATACCTTCTTCTCAAAATGACATCTGCTACATAGAACATTTTTCTGACTTTACTTGTAGACAGCCATCAAATTTGGCATGCTTCTAACTAAAATAGTTGATTAAGTGAAGCATTTTTTCCATTGTCATTGCCATTCTGTGAGGTGTGTAATTTAAAAAAAAAAAAACAGTTAATAACCATATATACAATCATTTTAATTATTCATTAGCAAAACAATGATAACAAGTAACAATTTAATTATATACACATTTTTAATTAATCAGCTAAACAATATAACAATTTAACATCACAGATACACACACAATAACTTTCATTTCTGTGTTAGTTATAGTCGTGCTCCCTCAGAAAAGCAGGTTGCTCTGCAGGGGCAGACACCTACGCAGCAAGCCTGGCCCGGAGGTTGTTTCCAGAGAGCTCTAGTTCAGCAGCACCAGGATCCTCCTCCTCCTCCTCCTCCTCCTCCTCGATGTCCTCCTCCTCCTCCTCCTCGATGTCCCCTGTCCCCAGAGATTGTGGAGGATGCAGCATGCGGCGATGACCTTTGGTGCAAATAGAGGCCGGATCTCCAAAGCCCGGAGGAAGATGGCCCTCCAACGGGTTTTAAGCATCCCGAAGGTGCGCTCAATAATGTTGCGGGCCTTGGCATGGTGCCTGTTAAAGCGTGCTTCAACTTGGCCTGTTGATTAAAACACAGTTAACATAAAATACATGTAGTGTTTCATATGGATAGATAGAAACTTCAGTGATCCCGAGGGAAACCCAGGAATGCAAATGCAAAGCAACAACTGTAATAAACTATTCTGTGTATTCTTACCTGCTACAGGCTGGCGGTATGGGGTCATGAGGGTCACCGGAAGCTGGAGGCAAGGGTACCCCCCATCTCCAAGCAGGTAGAAGTCAGCTGGTGGGTACAGGGACTCCTTGTACATTGGACATCTTCGGAGGATAAGGGCATCATGGACTGACCCCGTGTTTCCAACTTAGGTGTCCAGAAATTTCCCGCCACTGTCACACACTCCCTGGAGCACCACTGAAGGGAAGAGCTTGCGGTTAATGTAACATTTCCTCTGTGGTTCTGCAGGTGGGAGAATGCGGACGTGGCACCCATCTATGGCACCAGCCACACACCGAAATGCCTCGTGCCCAGCCAGACGTGCAAAGCCTGCCCCCACCTCCTCCATCTCTTCAGGCTTGGGGAAATGGATAACCTTGTGGAGGATGACCATCATGTCCTCCACTGAAGTGTGGACTACCCTGCCAACGGTGGCCCTCGGCATGGCAAATATGTCTGCTGTAACTCTATAGGAGGTGCCACATGCCAGCCAGTGGAGACAGACAGCCACCTCAATCTCATGGCTCCAACCATGTGGCTTTTGCCGAGGCAGCATCTGGACCAGTAAACTGATGGTCTCCCTGGACAGCCTAAAGGCTGGTTTTAGGTCTGCCTCAGAGAAAAAGGTGCGGAGGATAGGCACAGTGTTGTTTATCTGTGCATACCTCCGAGGAGAATGATCCTGTATTAAAAAAGATAGATATATTATTGTTTACAATCATGAATTGACATTTTAATTATATTTATTTAGCTATTTCATAGTTTTTATGTTTACTGTGATCATGCCTATTTTACTTAGACGGATTTAAAATTATGTAATGTAAAATTAATTAAATATTGTTCTTTTGTCAGGTTCTCATTACGCATTATCATTTATTATTTATCTTGTATACAAATGAACTTCACTGCCAATGTGATATAAGGTAAGTGTGTGGCATATATTATTTAATTTCCTCAAATAAATTATAAAACTTAATATGGTGTTAATTCCATGCCCCCCCACGATTTCACCACAAGGTGGTGCTGGGGCAAATGCTGGATCAAAAATGGCAGTGCCATAGCAGCCACGCCCTTTGACCTACAGACATGCAGAGCACAACTTTTAATCAGCATGGTCTCTGGATGATCTGTAAAAAATCTGAAGTCGATTGGATGAAATCCCTAGGACTAGTCCGTTAAAATACAACATGTGGAAATCACGCCAAAATAACAAGTCAAAATCAGAATGGCCGACTTCCTGTTTGGAGTGGACCATTGGTGCCAGAGACCTTTATGTGTGTCTGGACAACATACACATGTGTACCAATTTTCATGTTCCAACTCCAAAAAAAAACCCTATGGGGAGGGGTTTTTGAAAATTTCAAGGGGGCGCTATAGAGGCATTTTGTCCCCGCCACGGGTGACGCCCCTATCAGATGCAAGAGCTCGCCATTCTTGACCTGTGTGTCAATTATCATGATGATAAGAGGTCGCTGAAGCCATCAAAAAGCCAAACGCATTTGGAGGTGAGGGAGGCGCCATAGCGGCCACGCCCCTTGACATAGAGAAAAGCTTTTAATAACTTTTGATCAGCATGGTCTCTGGATGAGACCATGGCCAACTTCCTGTTTGGAGTAGACCACTGGTGCCAGAGACTTTAATGTGCGTCTGGACAACATACACGTGTACCAATTTTCATTTTCCTACTCCACAAAAAAACCCTATGGGGTGGGTTTTTTGAAAATTTCACCGGGGCGCTATAGAGGCATTTTGTCCCCCCCATGGGCGACCCCCCTATCAGATGTAAGAGCTCGCCATTCTTGATCTGTGTATCAATTTTCATGAGGATATGAGGTCAATGAAGCCATCAAAATGCCAAATGTATTTAGTGGCGAGGGATTGATAGTGGCCACGCCGCCACACGGACGCCATTAGATGTAGCTTCACAGTGTTCATAAGGTAGCTTCACCAACTTGTTCTGCATGCATTAGAAGTGGAATGAAGTTGATGCGGTAAAGTTTGTGGCATTAGTACATGTTAAAGTAAAAACTGGTCACTTCCTGTTTCCACTGGGGGGTGCTATGAGTAAGGTGGGATATTAACACATCGGGGCATTTGGGGCGGAGCCATTATCATGTCCAGCAAGTTTGAAGCTGTTGAGATCAAGTATGTGGGCGGGAGAGCCGTTCGAAATTCAATGACAAGACAATGAAAAGCCGCCAAAATTTGTAACGCCCTAGCGGCCACGCCCCTTGACATAGAGAAAAGCTTTTAATAACTTTTCATCAGCATGGTCTCGGGATGATCTGTAGCCAATTTGAAGTCGATCGGACTAAATCCCTAGGAGGAGTTCGTTCAAATTTAAGTTGTGGAAATCGCCGTAACGAAAAAATTAAAAACAAAATGGCCAACTTCCTGTTGGGATTTTACCATGACGTTAAGATACTTTTTTGTGCGTCTGGGTATGATACATGTGTGTACCAAATTTCGTTTGCCTACGACAAACTAACCCCAATGGGGAGGGGTTTTTGAAAATTTGTAGGGGGCGCTATTTCAGCATTTCGTGTCGACCATGTGCAACGCCCAAAAATATCGAATTTCGGATGTGGCCGGACGAATGTGGAAAGTTAGAAGCATTTTGAAATTCGGGTAAGGGGTGAAATTGGGACACAAAGCCGGGTAAAGACCAATAATAACAATAATAAACAGCGCAATTTCAATAGGGTCCTCCGCGGACGACTTCGTAGTCGCTTGGGCCCTAATAATAACAATAATAATAATAATAAACAGTGCGATTACCATAGTGTCTTCACGGACGACTTCGTCGTCGCTCGGGTCTTAATAAACAGCGCGATTACAGTAGGGTCCTCACGGACGACTTCGTCGTCACTCAGGCCCTAATAATAATAAACAGCGCGATTACAATAGGGTCCTCACGGACGACTTCGTCATCGCTCGGGCCCTAATAAAAGAATCTTTGCATTTCAATAGGGTCCTCACACCGCTAGGTGCTTGGGCCCTAATTATATTGAAATTTTAAAATCTATTTACAGAGTGGAATGGTAGCCTAATAGATAACTTATGTGGCGATCAGCATACGAGTGGGAGGTTTAAGTATTAGGGAATGACCAACCAAACCAGACAACGCCACCTTGGGAATTTCACCCCAGGAAATAGTTTTGTTTTACCTTATTGGAGCTAATACCAAGGCACTCAGGTTCGTTTTACTTAAGGAGCAGGAGACGTGGTTCCAGTTATAAAAATATA